TTATGCTCATCTCACTGAGTATAATAGCCTCAAGGTCCACTTCTGCTGTCACAGACAGCAGGATTTTTACATAAAATAATTTCTTAATTAGAAATCAAAATATTTTAGTTAATGCAGTGAGCTATGTGTATTTTGTTAATAACTTCTTTCTGGTATACAGAAAAGTGATTCAGCTACATATACATATTCAGCTATATATATATATATTTCTTTGTTGGAATATAATTGCTTTACAACGTTGTGTTAGTTTCTGCTATATCAATGTGAAACAGCTATATGTACACATGTGCTAAGTCACTTCAGTCGTGTCTGACTCTGCAACCCCGTGGACTATAGCCCGCCAGACTTCTCTCTTCATGGGATTCTTCAGGCAAGAATACGGGAGTGTGTTGCCATGCCCTTCTCCAATATGTACACATATATCCCAATAACTTCTTTCTAAAGTTGGAAGTGTTTCTTTCAGAGAAAGGAAAATGACTGTGACCAATGTAACCTCAGCTGCTTACAGAAGACAGAAGGCAGGAACCCCCACCTCCACTTTAGACCACCAGAGGCAAAGTTCTGCACTGTCTTCCTTCCTTAATTTGATGGGCCTTGAGGAAAGCACTGGCTCTTCTAATGCACCAGAATGTCCTTGATCTTCTGGACACTGGTCATGCTCCTTAGGTAATGATCTGAGCATGTGCTCATTGCCTGCCACATCTGCTTACACAGGAGTTGTGTAAAGCAATATTCAGAAAGGAGCTGATGCTTGAACAGGAAGTCAGCCCTCAGAACAGAGACCAGCACTTGTAATTTACAATGAGCAGGAGGAGGATGGGAGTGGGTGCTCTGAGAGCAAGGGGAAGACATGAGATAATTTACTCAATTTGTTTTCCTAGAAATGGAAACTTTATGTCAAGAATTTGTAATAAAACTAACTGAGGCACTCACACCAGGCTCCATAAAATGCTTAATCACCTTGTTGTTCTATAACAGCTCTTCTCTTGATGGGGGAATTTGCCAGCTTTTTAATCTCCCTTATTTGATTAACAATAGCATCAACAACAGCAACCTGTGTTGGGTTTCAGTAAATGTTGGATCTACAAACTTATTAAGGAAGATAGATTTATTTTAGGGCCTCATCTATAATGGTCTCAAGCCTTAAGTAGCAGATCATGATTTTAAAGTTTTATGTTCTTTGGGGGGAAAAAAAAGAGTATCTATAGCTACTTGAGGAGGAAAGGCATGTCAGTAAGTAATCATCATTGTTCCAAGACATTTTTGTGGAGGAAAATATATTATTGCAGTCTATCTTTTTCCGAGTCTGGATCTATTTTTTCCTCTTTTAACATTAATTTAAAAGAAACACAAAGCTAATTCTTTTTTAAATAAAAGGTTTAATGATGATCTTTTCTCAAGTTTGAACCTACTCATGAGAAATGATCAGCACTATGGTGGGTAAAAGGTCTTTAAATTTAGTCAAAAGTCCTGTGAACAGAGTCTGAGTCCAGGTGTCTGAGCTGAAGCAGGTGCTGCAAACACTTGCTGCACCCCGTGAATGAGTGGATTCAGTGTGTTTGGGACAGTGGGGCCCGAGAGACACCAAATGCTGCTGAGCTCCAGCCCCCATCGTTACTTGATTTTCATCACTGTCAGCCTTAATGCTATCTCAGCCTGCCGAGGTTATTCACCCTACTTCTCTTAAACACCTTCTTTTCTCCTGCTGTTGTCTTTGTGGAGTTTCCAAACACACAACTGAATTCACGCAGGTCTGAGGTGAAGTTTTCATTAGCCTGCGTCAATTAAGGAGAGGCAAAAAGACACATCCGGGAAGATATTTGTTAAGGTATTTTTATCCTGAAGTTATTATGATCTTCCTTCCTTTTCTTCTTTCCTTTTTGATGTTGAATTATCTCTGCTTGTATAGATCAGTGTAAGTTATCTTTGTTTTATTAATGTCCCTCATTCAGAGGTCACTCCATATTTATGCATTTCTGTGTGTATTAGTGTGTGTGTGTGTGTGTGTGTGTGTGTGTGTGTGTGCTCACATTTAATCATCTGTGAAGCCCATGACATTATGGATCCACGATGTATTTGTTTACATCATATATCAAGAGATGGTATCCTGGTCCAGGAAACAACTTGGTTCAGCAAAAAGCACAGAAGGTTCTGGAATCTCACAGACAGGATCTGTGTTTGAGATTAAATCTGATTCTTACGGCCCCTGAGTATGCACTAAGCTCAAGCTTCACTTTCTTACAACTGGGGTGGTAACAGCTACCTGAAAGAGCTCCAGAAGATGAAAGCTTCTAACAATGCGCTAAGTTGCCTCAGTCATGCCTGACTCTTTGAGACCCCACGGACTGTAGCCTGCCAGGCTCCTCTGTCCACGGAATTCTCCAGGCAAGAATACTGGGGCGTGTTTCCATGCCCTCCTCCAGGGGATCTTCCTTACCCAGGGATCAAACCTGAGTCTCCTGCTTTGGCAGATGGGTTCTTTACCACTAGCGCCACCTGGGGAGCCTCTAAAAGAGTGTTTATTTTCTGAGCTTCTGTGCCTCTTTGTCCCCTTTTTCACCACGTGGAGAACTAGATCTAAAAATGCTCGGCACACATATCAGAAATAAGAAAATGCAAGACTCTGACACTAGCAAGTGTCCACAGTTAAAATGGCGAGTTAGGGAAGCACTATCAGAGAGTTTGAAATTGCAGAACTGGGTAGGGTTCATTCTGGAAAAGGCCTTCCAGGATTAAGTTTTGAAGATATCCATAGCAAGTTGAGGAGAAGGCAATGGCACCCCACTCCAGTACTCTTGCCTGGAAAATCCCATGGACGGAGGAGCATGATGGGCTACAGTCCATGGGGTCGCAAAGAGTCTGACATAACTGAGCTACTTCACTTTCACTTTACACTTTCACGCACTGGAAAAGGAAATGGCAACCCACTCCAG